TAATATTATACATGTAGATAACAGTTTCACTTTGTACTATGTTATTTATGCCAACTTACAGGAAGCCTGAGTTTAAGGCTTTTCTGTCAATTACATCTAACCTATATGATATTGAATAAAGTCCACTCCCTTAAACTAGTGGCTGCGTTGTAAACTGATTGATGCAAATCAATCAACACTAAAAACTCTTAACAATAAGATATTAAATTGTTACAAAGTCCGAAATTTTTGTAAATATTTTAGTCTTGAAAATGTCAATTACAGTCTGATTACCTCAGTGGTAACGTCGTCAGTTGCGTCACTTGACGATAATGTCAGGTCCAATTAACGGGGTATATCAGTTACTTCATGATTACAGATACCTCTTCCTGATAAGTTATAACTTACACAGAGCGTAGCTCTATATCTTCCTCCCGGCTTTCTTTAACCACGTAGCATCAAAAAATATGGTAACCAATTTTACATAGGTAGAATTGTTTATTACATATCAACTCATACGTGTGACGCTTAAATTTTGATAATTTACAGTAATACATAACGGTGTCACATGGTTTTTATAAATTAGTGAATGAATTATTTTTGCATGAGAATACATGTAGCTACTTAAATATGCGATTCATGTTTGAATGATTGTAATTATGATTGCATTCGGTATATTTCATGCCTTAATTCAAAGTTATTTTTTGTTCTTAAAAATGCATCTTTAAATAGTTTCTCTCTTTTTGGAAAACATTCAACTAGATTAATTTGATGTGATTCTTAAATTGGTTGTTTTTACTAAGTTACATTTCAATATGATATGTGTTTACCTTCAGTTTAAGATGAGTTGTTTCGAGCGTACGGATTTATGTGTATAGATGCATCATGAAGTATGTATGAAGAAAAAATGCCATTTTTCACCTTGGATTGCATTATTCTAAATTTCGACTGTCAGTGGGATTCAAGATGCGCCTTTTGTCGTGTTCGGGACTCATCGGCTGGACGTACGTACATCCTAGTTTGTTGTTGTTCACTGTAAAACTCAAACAGTTCACCTACCACTTTAAACATTAATGGGCAACTGAGTGTCCAGATACTCACTAATTTATTCATTTATGCATATATACCTATGGAGACTGCTTAAGATATCCAGTCATGAATACTAAGAAACAAGAAATCACTAATTTTTATAAACAACATATAAACTATGTTTTTTTTGTTTAAACGTTAGAAATCAACCTAATCGTATTAGAGATACGTTTTTTAAGATAAAGAAGATGTAAAGAAGGGATGTAATAACAAAAAAAGACAAATGTTGAGTGATCAATTTCTGTGGAGTTTTGTTCTCTGAGCTGGATGGTTTGGTTGTGGAGCTTTCATCGTTCTTCTGAACGAGATCATCAGCTCAAACGTCAGGTAGAAATGAGGTGTTCGAATTTCTCCACATGTCGTTCACAGCTTGTCTTATAGACCTCGATGTTGATTGGTTCTTGTTGACCTTAAACCTTCGATGATTATCCTCCGGTCAACAGATTTCAAATGTGTTGGTTAACCTCATTATGTTGTAATCAGTTTTAAATTGATGTTCAACGGATTATAATATCGTGAAAGTTCTATCCAGTGATGATTGCGTGTTCTATTTCGATTCTATTTATAAAAAAATCATTTATACTGGATTGATTTGCGTTGGATTTCTTTTACAGGTTGACTATAAGGTGTTAACTATTGATAATTATAAAGGAAACATTTTATTTTCTCAGACTCTTAGATGGCAATAAGAAACAAAAATTGAACAGAGTACTAAGAAAATTTCTGATTTGAAATTAAACTCAGATTATTACAAGCAAAGGTAGATAGTGGCTAGCAGTGGAATTCAATTTGACTCACGTTTCGTCCTGTCTGGGACTGGTCAGCTGGATGTACTTGCATCTCAGAGTTGATGTTCACTCTTGGACTTGAACACTAGTTTCTTTCCTGTATGTTTCCTTATATACATATATCATGTACAGATGGCAGATGAATTCTAGTAGTAATTTTATTGAACAGTCAATCAAGTCTTCTGTCAGCTCACAGAAGGAAGAAAAAACGGGCTGTATTAGACGGACGTTTTTAATGGAGATATTGTTAACTGATACAGAACATGAGTTTTGTTTGTATCATGTCTGAAGACTTATGTGTTTCTCATAAATATCATTGATTGTTTTAAATAATCTCAAGGCTTATGATATTTTGTTCAATCAATCAACACTTAAGAATACTTAATTCGTTTGTGGAATTACTCTGATTAAATTATAAATTAGTAAGTCCATTAAATTTCTATCTGTTTGTTATAATTTTGAGAGAAATATTTCGACCCAATCTAATATTAGCTGTAACATTAGAAAGCGCTAAATAGTTGTTTTCTTGTGTGTAACTTATTATCTATTCTAATTTGGTGTAGCATCTTGAACACAAATGTATGTGACAAGTTCTACGTCGCATATGACTGACTGGCTAGAACTCCTCAGCAGTACTTATCAACTATCTTCAGGTATTGTATCACAGCTCTGCATCAGAAGTTCCTGGTTCATATTTTTGTCTTCAACTGATTTGTGCTAGTATGATTTTCATCCATTTTTATTTATATATTGCTTACAATTCTGGTTAACTTGGTGACGATGTGTTTTCAGCACTTTTTAAGAGGTTACATAACTTAAGGAGATAGGAGATTCTGAACCTAGACTTTGTGCTAGATAACTGTCTTTATCAACACTCATTCATAATCTCAAAGGAAATGATGCTACCTATTGGGGTTCCGATCGATTTAACATCCTGATAATGTGCTACTGAATTATTTAAGTCGCAAATTTTATTAATTAATTTCAAAGTTAAACAAGTTTTGCGTCGATTTATTTTATATTATTTCTAAGCAAGAGCACAAAAAATGTGACTCATGATTGAGTAAATAATGTGTATTTAGTCACTGAGCTATTTTATAGAATAAACAACTTGTAAAGGCTGGTTTTTTGCATTTCATATTTTTTTTCAACTCTAATGGTGTCTATGTATGTATGTGTGTGTCCGTGTGTACGAAATGAACTTACTACATATAAATACAAACTCTCATATAAGTTTGCAATTTGTCAACATGTTGCTTACTATATACTTTTCATAATTGTCGGTATTACCTTAACCTCTATTAATATTTACTTTTTTAATATTAATCCTAATCTTTATAGTATATTATTCTTGTGAATTCTGATAGCTCATAGGAATCTACAGGAGTTGAAACTTTTTGTATACACTGTAAATCACGAATGATAAACTGTTAATGCAGATTTGCTTGTCAAAACGTTATGTATTCTTTAATAATTTTGATTAATATCCTGAAGTCCAGATAAGGTTGCTTGATGAAATGTTGGAATTATTTAAATATAATTATATATATAGTTATCAGAATGGGTTTTGTGGAGATTTTTAGAAATTTCACAAGTTGAAATCATGAGCCAATTGAAGTAGACCACCATGGAAAACCTGGAAGCACTGGACGGCCGTTTCGTCCTAGTATAGGACTCCTCAGCATTGTGCATCCACGATCCCACACTGGGGATTATAACCCAGGACCTATTAGTGTCGTGCGCGAACACTTAACCCCTAGACCACTGAGCTGACATTCGACGATGTTAATGTCTAACATCAACCAATCTACGAAATTCTATGGTGGTCTAGCTTTCATTGACTCATGAATTCAACTATTAAATTACTATATTATCCACAAAACCCCTTTTTGATTATAAAGTAACTTTGCCAAGAATAAATCGATTTTGCATAATCAATAAGCGTACTGAAGTCTTGTACATGTTTTGATATTGGTTAATTGAAGAAATAACAATATATAAATTTGTCCATATGAATAAGTGCTTGGTGTGTTTAATACTGCTATTAGAAAATAAGTTTTCATTTTCTGCCTTTCGCTTTACGTGTTATAAAATAAAAGTCATTCACTTTTCAATTTAACGCCAAAACATAAATGACGTTTACTCAATTTTAGTAGGAGTGGTTCATCAATTATACTTTCACCTTATTGTTGTCGTGTTTCACTCATAAAATAAAGCAAATTGAACCACTATAGTGCCTTGATTTAGGACTAGATTTGGTATGAAATAATTTGGATCTGATGTTACTGATGTTAACCTTTTGTGTAGCACAATTCAGTTATTTTATAAGCAAAGATGGTTAGTGGCTAGCCGTGGAATCCAGGACTGCGTTTCGTCCGATTTGGGACTCGTCAGCTGGATGTACTTGCATCTCAGAGTTGATGATCACTTTGGGACTCAAACCCGGTACCGTTCGCTTCAAACGCCATCACGTTATCTACTTAGCTACTGAGTCCTGATAGCCACTTGCCTGTGAAATGGGGTGAAGTTATATTCACTTGGTATTGTTTACTTGAATCTTCCCATTGATGTTTAGGACTGCATCCTGTCCGGACTGCCTCGATATTGTCTGAAGTCAAAAGCTTTATAAGCAAAGGTGGATAGTAGCTAGCAGTGGGATCCAGGACGCGCGTCTCATCCTATTTGGGAAGATACAAGTAAACAACACCATGTGAATATAAAATTAGTCCTTTTAATAAATTTCAGTAATGCAATGAGAAGACGAAGGTTATCACATTTATGTGATGTATTTGTGTAATACATTTCGAACAATTTGATCACACATATACTTGCTAAGACATTTTTATAAAAAACATAAAAGGTGTACTTTATTATTCTTTGTTTCCGCTTACCTTTTAATTTGTCTAGCTGACCTTTCATATGAAAATGTCTTAAGTATATGTGTGTGTTCAGATTGTTCGAAATTTATTGTGCAAATGTATTACAATTCAGTTAGTTAATTGCTCAAAACGACGTTTTCATCAAGTGTTAATTTGCGCAATGTTATGTAATTCGAATTCTATTCATTACTAACTAGTGTAAAATGCACTAAATAATTCATAACTCTGTTATTTCTCTTTTTTGTCTTTATTAACCATCTCACAGCTTTATTCTACAGCGCTGGTGGATTAGGTCCTGCTTGTGGATTTCTTGCTGGTGCTGGTTTCTTAAGTATTTACATTGATTCACCATTTATGTTGCCTGAAACTGGCTTAGACCGTAATAGTCCATTGTGGCTTGGTGCTTGGTGGCTTGGTATGCTTGTCTGCGCTGCATTAACTTTCTTTGTAGCATTACCTGTGATATGTTTTCCTAAACAACTTGCAGTTATTAAAAAAAGTGATAGCAATACAATTCCAAACGATGAAACCGAAGATCTGGATAAAGTAGGTTTTGTCCATCCTTTTAATTTATAATTATTCGGTTTTGGGGGAAACTGTTCCATATCGATGACCTTCGGAGAACCAGTAAGGTTTAAGATAGAGCTTATTAGATTCTCCGGAAAATTTTGAAGCGCAGTAAAGAATAGTCTGGATCTTAATTTTAAAAAAATAAGTAGAAATTATCTTTCTTTAGTTTCTACAATTCTTAAAACTGTTAGAAGTATCTTTTGCGCAACTACTCAGTGAATGTGGTACAATGTATAATAAATAAATAAATAAATAAATACAATTTATAAACTAAGTTATAAGAAGTACCTCCTTCTAATGCACATGATATCTGAGCGTACTTGATGTGATTGATAAAACTCAGTCATGGGTATTTTGGTAGTTGAAAAGTTTTTTCTTACTGTGACCACATGTCCTAATTACAGCCTATAACCCTAACTCTTAATATTCCTAAGTTTCGCTTCACAACTGGTTTATATCGACTCCTAAACTAATGACAGCAAGTGAAGCAGTAGGTCGGGTCGGTTGATAACTTTACTTTTCTTGGAAGTGTGTCGTCAACCCGGGTGCATTGGTGTCTGATTAAGTCTTGTCACGGATTCAGCGGGCTCAATTGGCATTTACCTACTTGTGCCACCCTACTGAGTAGGGAATATTGGTATGTTATTATTATTTGCTCTTATATTTGTCTTCGATGCATTGCTCGTTAATGCTGGAAAATGTTGAGGTTAGGTGCCCAAAACATAAGCGCACTATGGCAGATCAGATGATGAGTTAGTGAATCTTTACCAACTGAAAAGGTTCGGACATGTATGACCAACCACTGCATTCCTCGAGACTTGATGTGTACTAGTGTAGAAATTAGGGTGTAACCAAACAAAAACGTAGTTTTGGTTCCCAAAGTCATTGATTGTTGAACTGACCCATGTAGTAAGATGTCGATTACGTGGTTGGTGTCCACATAATTATCTCAACCAGTGGTTAGATACGTTGTGTGACATCCTTCAGGGTCTTAGCTAGGATAAAGAAAATCATATAATACATTGTTTAGTTATAGAATTTGAATCTTATCTCCATCCACCCTGTTTATATCACATATAGTTTTATTCCGACAAAAGTAATTTAAATGTTTTAGTATCATAACTATGCATTTGATGGTTTATATTTTACCTACACGTCGACGTTTTTTTTTTATTAAAAAAGGCATTTTCAATTTGCACTTTTATCTTTTAATAAGTTACATATATACATACCTTCACTCCTTTTCATACTGTTTACCTAATCACATTTTATAATAGACTCATATTATCCTACTTACTAAAGTCAATATCTAAATATTATTAAATAAGTAGTTAGTGTAGATGTGATTGTGAAACATTATATATTTCTTTGATAATTTTGATTTTGATTATTACCTTGTAGAAGTTTAAACAAGATTACTGAACAAAATGTTGGAATTATTATAAATTTCAATCTTTGAGATTATTTTAAATATCATTCTGATAAATAATATATTAGTATCAGAAGGGGTTTTTAGTGGAGATTGTAGTAATTTCAACAGTTGAGATCATGAGTCAATTGGAAGCTAGACCACTATGGAAAACCTGCAAGCACTGGACGGCTGTCTCATCCTATTGTGAAACTCCTCAGCAGTGCGCATCCAAGACCCTACCTCGCGGGATTCTAGCCCAAGACCTATCAGTCTCGCGCTAGGCGCTTAACCAACTAGACCACTGGTGGTCTAGCTTCAATTGACTCATGATCTTAACTGTTGAAAACAATATACTAATTGGGATCATGAACTGATCAATGTTAGATCATCATGGAAAACCTGGAAGCATCAGACGGCGGTTTTAGCCTAGTATTGGATTCCTCAGCAGTGCGCGCACGCGGAATCGAGGACCTTCAGACTGACACGCGATCACCTAACCTGTAGACCACTGAGCCGGGATAAAATGATGTTAATATCTAACTTTAACCAATCCACGGTATTTTGCGATCTCACTGAAAACTTAATAATCTCCACAACCCTGTAATATATTGAAAAATATCTTCTGGTATTATTCTGTCATTATCTCTGATTGAACGATGTTACTATTGTTTTAATAAGAGTTGGATTTATGTATGATCTTTGGTATAGAATTGTTATGTGTACAGCTTTTGATGGTAAATTTTATTTAACTCCTTCACCTATGTGAAGAACAATCATAGGATTCTACGAGTCACTTATGATTCATTTATTATAGCGTTTGCCATTCATGATGTATGTACACGTGGCATAGTACAGTAAATTCATCGCTATTACTCGATCCAGAATTTCGCATCATTTTTGATCCTAAATTTGCCTATTAGACAGTTTTAGCTGAAGTTTTATGTAAGTTTATAATTAATACTAACTGTTAATCCATTATCATCACGTGTACGATAAGTTTTCAAGTCAATTGCGGTCATTACATTATGTAACCTTAGATTAAGTTAGAGTTTACTGGGTTTTTTTCTAAATAGTTTATTCACATTTGATCATTGACGTAGTTATCAGATGCATATGATGTTCTGTTTGAGCGTTATGTATGACTTCCCGATCATTATACTGATCCTCGACTTTTTAGATCGTGAAACTGAACGAATATTTATTCAGTAGCTTAGTTCCGTCTGTGTATCTTTTTGTTCTAACCAATTTTTCCTCAAATATTTTCAGTAACTGCCATAAATACTGACATGTTTACGATGAAGTTCACACAACTGAACATATAATTTGACGGTAATACCATTAATTTTATTGTTGTTTACTATGAATAGGTTAATCTTGTGTTCAATTTCGTTTTTTTTTCTATGTATCATAGATCTGTTCCCTACAATCCAATCTAATAATCATAATATTTCCAATCTTAATACAAATAACAATAAAGTGAATTTATCTTACGTAAAATCGTCCGATAATTTGCCTAATATAAACAAACAATTTGGACAACCATCACTAACCACAACCACAACAGCCGTTTCAGCTGCTGCTGTTGCAGGTGTTGAAACATTAACATCAAATCATTTGCTCAATACACTATCACCGGATAGTCGCAATGTTCAGTATCCAAGTCTAGAAGAATTTAAACAACAGCAGCGATTGCCTGAAATGAAGCGAAATCATGTTGATTCACTTAAGACATCTCCATATTCTCCCACTACCATTACTCCTAATTCTCTTTATGCACAGTCTCCATCTATCAAGGATGCTGTAATTAGTGGTGATGGGACAATTGTTAGCCCTTCAAATCAACACTTTCGTTCACATTCAAATATTGGCGGTGGTCATCTCGACTCTCTTGACGGTAATACTGTCGAAGTTGTTAATAATGGTATTGCTGGTTGTGGAGATCAATCTGACAATTTGGGAAAATTCATGAAAACATCCTTGAATAATTCATTTAGTGAAAACCAAGCTAATCTTAAGTCAAAAATAAAAGGTAATAATTAAATTTGTTGTTTGTGATCATACGTAATAGTGTTTGTGTGTTTATTTGTTTCGTTTGTCTTCTAGATTTTGTTTTTTGAGTATTTTGGGGTTCACTAATGTAGATTTAGACTCTGATCAACATAATAAGCCTACTGACGCGGTCCAACTAATGATGTGGAGTTAAGTGAAGTTGTGTAACTGATCAACTTACACACTCTTACATTGAAGTTCCATTACTCAATAACTCTCCAGTTTGTCCTATCCTAACCTGGTGACTGACTTATCTTAGCACACTTGAATAACGATTAAAATCCTATCAAACTTATATTTCAGTGCAATGAGAATAAAATGGTGACATAAACAAGATGTAACCGTAATAATTAGCTTCACACCATCAATTGACTAATCAACTTGTTTATCATCAAACTTCCATAAACAATACAATGTTCAAAGGTCAGGTTTCTGAGATTAACATCACAGATAAATTCCCTTGAGATTCATTGTTTTTTTTCTTTTGTGAAAACTTTTGATTGTAATATAAAGTTGGATTGTATAAAAACGGGGATTACTAACTAAGTGGAATGAAATGTTTTCTGTTAATTTATTTTCGATATGACCTCTTCATAATAAAATCATTTCTTAAGTATTATTCAACGGAAAAAAATGTACTTTTTCTCATTGAATTCTCTAAATCAACTAATTTCATAGTCATCTTTTCACTGTTATCCCTAATTAGTTTAGGGAGTATTTTAACTTTATGAGTTGATATATTGATGTTTCCTATCTTGATAACACATGGGGACTTTGATTGATTGTTCAGCTTGATGATATATTTACTGACTGATTCCTGTTTTATTTGGTGTTAGAGACTTCACTAATCTTTCTCTCGTTTTTTTTCTCTGTTCAAAGCACGTTATTTTTTCAATAAGTGGTCTATGATTAGTAAATTTGAATAATGACTAGCAATTGAATACAGGTTGTGCGTTTCTTCCTTTTCGCGATTCATCAGCTAAGCATATCTTTGTCATAGTGGTAATGTTTATATTGAGACTTCTTTTGATCAAATGACAACCTTGAGACAATTCGATCAGGATGCATTAAAAGAGATTGGTTAATTTCACTTTTTTAATATTAACAAAGAGTAGATTAAAGACTTTATAAATAAGAGTTCTATTATGTTCAAACATATATGCGAAACTAATCGAATTCTAGTGAAAATTAAACGTTCATGAATATATATTTACTAAGGGGAAATGCGAAGGCATAAGTGGTAATAATATATACGACAAAACACTTCATTTCTTTAATACATGTAAACCTATTTGAAGATAATGTAGTCAGATAGACAGGATAGATAGATAAACATAGGCTGATAAACGTAGGTGTTCATTAGCCTGGCACGTGCAACTTTAAACGCGTTCTCAACATTTATATCGGTGAATAAACTTTACTTGAATTAAAAAGACTTAGTTTTTTCTAGATTTTCAACCCTTTCTAATGAATAAATTACATAGGGAAGAGGAATTGACTAGACTGAACGGAATACAATCAACACGTCTAAGGTCTTAGGAAGCTTGAGGCTAGATCGTTGATAGTACGTTTATCTCCAACAGGATATAAATCCGAGTTAGAAGTAGTCAAAGTTTTCCATTGCAGACAAAACCTAATGGTCAAAGACATCACGTTTAGAGCAAATAAAGTGCGATTCGCTGTTAGTTCGGAAGACCCTGTTGGTGTTATGAGTACTCACTTTTTAGAAGTTCCATACTAGGACGAAACAGTTGTTTAGTTATCATTAACCAGTTCATGATGTAAACTATAATATAGTACTTACACCAGATCTCATGTTACTATAATTTAAATAGATTTCTCTGCATAAGACTCACATCTGCACTAAGTACTAGGACAAATCGGATTCATTCTTATTTCAAATGTTTTTATCGTCAGTTTAAACTTTTAACTCGGCGGCGTAACATTTTGAACTGACGAAATCAGAAAGAAGCTTTTCATAATAAGTGTTTGTGACACCTTAAACAATTTACTTAAAAGTAATGTATAGTTTTATATGGAAAATTTCACTTTACATACTCTGGCCGATCGTGATCAGATTGATGGGAAAAAATATTCAGTTATTAGTAGTTGGGATTGATAACCAATACGTCTTTTACCTAGTTTTATGCGGATTGATGTTTACTACCAACATGGGACGCCTACTATGTTGAAGAATAACTAATTTTCTCCATTGTGTGGTGCTACCCTAATAACGACTACAGCTTATAAGAATCAAAGGTTTACATTATTTGCTCATCAAGTGGTGACTAATACCGTATTGTCTAGTCCGTCGCTCTGACCGACATCTATTAACCAGGAGGTTAATGACCACTTGGATGTCTAGGCAATGACATCTTTGATTACGTAATATTCAATGGTGTAGGTGTGAATCCAATAGGCGATATTATCAGTTTCATCTAGACTGCATATACATTTTGTTAATAGGCGCCTACAGGCATGAAATCCGTATTTAAAATTTTCTGTAAATTTCGCTTTCTTAACTTCAGAGGTAAAGTTTACTGTAGTGTTTTATCAATAAGCCTAACTGACCACATTCCAAAAGTAATCAATGGAATTCGACTAATGTCGGCATGATGAACAAATAAAATATTACTCGCAACTGTTTCAATGATTTTCATCTTTTGTGATAACTGGAGATGGTATGTTTTGAGATCTGTTGTTTTGTTATGACTCGAAATACTTATCGATATCACACGCTATATCGTCGGTAGGACCGGTGACCTATGTTCACGAATTTACACACCGACTAATGTACCACAATCAAGGCCTTAACGTTTATTGGTCCTCTAGTGTCTTGTCACCAAGTAGCCAATTAGAAGATGCACATAGGAAGATGATCATTTCTTTATTGTACCCAAGTAAACTAGACTCAATATCTATACAATAATATACTTGAAATGCCTGATAACATAGCACATCAAATAAGAAATCACGCTCTGAATGCAATCATACCATAAGTATTAGAGGGTGGAGCAAACAGTACACAATTAATTTGCAATAATTAGGGATTAATAATACGTATAATAACAGTCGACAGGTAAATTGAAGGCCTACAATAAGGGTAATGCAGAAATGCAACCATACACTTACCTATCAGTTATACAAATAAGATGGTATAGATATTATTAATTCGTAGAACAGTTCTGAAACTTACAACTTCTTCAATATTCATCCCATTATAACGAGAGATAATTTTTGTGTGGGTTCGATGTCCCGTTTACGATGTTGTAATTGTTTCATCTGCGCTTCGTACTATAATCGTCTTTTTTCTCCATATTTCTTTTCCATTTCAGCTTCATATCATATCGTACGTCGTGTACTAACTAATCCTGTCTGGTTAGGTGTAACATTGAGTACTGTTGTGGAACAATCGATTGTTGCTGCGTTTTTAGCATTTGCTGCAAAATACATTCAAATTTTATTTCATATACCAGCTTATTTGGCTAGTATTCATACTGGTAAGTTTCTTTTATTATTTTTCCTTGGATAAAAATTATAGCCATTTCTATTTTATATTACTCTTTGTTGTTGAAGTTTATAACTAACTAGATTAATAGATTGTGTATTGATTTTTACACTGATAGCTATTAAGTTCAAATCTCAGTGACATTACCAACACACCTAAGATCCAAAGTACATCCTGAAATTGATGTAACATAAGTTCCAGATGCATTCCTTTTGTACATACGATCCAACTTTACAAAGATTATTGTTTTTGTTGTGTAGAATAAATGGATCGTGGCTGGCGTTGTAATCCAGAACGTGTGATTTTATCATATTTAGGACTAGTTAGCTAGATTTACCTGCATTTTAGTGTGGGTGTTTACACAGAGACTCGAATCCAATACCTTTTATCTCAGATGCTCAACGAAATACCGATTGTTTTACTGAATCCCAATAGCCATTCACTCATGGTACGGGTACGATGTTTATGTTATTATTAGAAAGAGCTTGAGTTATCTTAATTTTCGATGCTATATTTGAGTTACGGTTTGAAAATCAACACAGAGATATGACAAATTGATCCAACTGACGAGCCCTGACTATGACAAAACTTGTATCTTGTATTCTACAGGTGGACAAAGGTAATCTGTTCCATACAAATTGTGATGAAAATATCTATACCAAGGCCTTCTTCACAAGGCACAGATATGCCAACAAAGATTGATCGAAATTCAGTCCTAAATATCATGCAAACTTTTCAAAATAATTACATTTTACTGTTCATAAAAGTGCAAGCAGAAGAGTGATTATGAAGATGGCGAGTGAAAAACAGTGAGTATAAAAAAGGCACACGTTAATAAGGGTGGCTATCAATAAGGCTCATATTAATAAAGCTTGGCATTGAAAGGGTAATAACATTTTCACCGGCGTGAAATATGTTCTTTCCCTATACCTCACGATAAACTAAAACCGTATTTTCCTAAACCTATGATGAGTCCACTTTCAGCAAATACTGTGATTTTTCGAATTCCGTAACAAATTGTTTTTGTTGTTACTATAGTCATGTCAATTTCGAACAGCTAAGATATAATCTATTCCCAATTAATGCGCACCTTTCTGATGCACACCTTTCACTTGCTCCATTAAAAGTATACCCTTCATATGCTGTACCCTTATCATCGTCCTTTTATACTTAAAAAATTAAGTCTTTTATGTTAACTAATCATGAGAGAAAAATAAATGAAGTAAACCATCTTAAAAGTAAAGTAAATCACTGTTAATAAAGGGCTTTTATGAAGATTGTTGTAGCCCATTGGTTTTACATCATAAAATGATCTTAGCTAAAGACCTGGAAATAATAAACAATATCACGAACTGATTTAAGTTAGATAATATATAAATTAATAGATGCTAGCTCAATTATCTAGAGGTTGAGTGTTTGCAGCATGAACCGAATATTTTGGTTTAAATCTCCTATGGGGGTGTTGCTACTAACTGTTGTGAAGTTTTAGACTACGACAAAACAGTTCATTGCTTTCTGGTTTTCAAAAGCTGTTTAACTAAGATCAGTTCGTGATGTGATTTGTTATTATCATCTAAGTGTATTTACTATTATTAGTTATTCTTGCTCGCTTCAAAAAACATTGGTTATTAAGGGGTTATCTCGTCATCGTTTAGAAAACTCTTTTTAATAGTCTCTTCATTTTTAACCATTTAATGTGAATGAACCTAGATTCTTCCAGTATAACGACAAGTGAAAAACTGTTATTTTGTAAAGTATCTCGTATCACTGTTGGGTATTCGTTTGGCTATTAACTCGACAGTATGAATATCATCAGGCTTTACAATTTTTTCTCTTGTAATATAGATAGAGGGATCTTGGGTAACCTAAGTAGACGAAAACCAGTACTGTTGAATACATTCCGGCTCCTGCAATACTTGGGTGGGTGTATGTTCACGGTCTCTTCAGTTAATTTAATCGAAATGCTGAAAACCCTCTCTCATTTCATCATCTTTTCTCCCTATATGAATTAAAGATACACGATTAATCCTTCAAAGAGACTCTCAAACACAAATATTTCAATCATATAGTACCATAGAGTGAATTGTTCTGCAATTTACTCACTCTGGTATTTCTATATTCCCATAATGCTATATACGACTTGAATTGACAAATAATGAGGGAGCTTTCTATAAATGTGTTAAAAATTCATTGACTATAAAACCACCTAAGTCAATAATTCGTAATTTCCGTACTTCCTATTATAAAACGATACATCGTCTCAGATCAATCATAAATCGTCATCTCACCTTCGAAAACTGTGGATACTGTGTATTGAGTTTCTTTTGAAATAGTTCAGATGGCTATTTTTGTATGATCTACCAAATACTGGGTCTTTCCCTCTCTTGACCTGTATTTATTATTGATTCATTGAAATGAATCCTAGGTCAAGACGATAGGCTAAGTAGACACCAACGTATAAACAACTTAAAGCACTTTCATTGGGGTATTTTACCAGAGGTTCTAAAATCCGACATTTGAGATCTCTGTAAAATTATAATTCTGCTATACTTTTAATAGTCTACACTAGCAGACATCAGATTTGAAAAGATTTCTTCGATAATCTATTGATTTGAGCTGCTTCATTATATATATATATATATATATATATGCCGTCGACGACATTCTGGAAACGGCTCTGATGGATGTAAGTAATGGTGGTGTGGATCTGTTGCCTGGAGAAAGACTTCTCGACCTTGAGTATGCGGACGATATTGTCTTACTGTGCGATAATGCCCAGGCCATGCAATCGGCACTTAATCAGTTGGCAATCAGTGTCCGTAGGTATGGTATGTGCTTTGCACCTTCGAAGTGCAAAGTACTTCTACAAGACTGGCAGGATTCCAATCCTGTACTCACCGTGGATGGTGAGCAGATAGAAGTAGTCGAGAAGTTCGTGTATCTAGGTAGCTGCATAAGCGCTGGTGGGGGTGTGAGTGATGAGATCAGTGCATGTATAGTGGAAGCCAGAGCGGCTTATGCCAATCTGGGCCATCTTTGGTGCCTTCGTGATGTTAGTCTGGCTGTAAAATGTCGGATCTACAACGCATCAGTGAGAGCAGTTTTGCTCTATGCTTGTGAAACCTGGCCTCTCCGAGTTGAGGACGTTAGACGACTCTCTGTGTTCGATCATCGCTGTCTCCGAAGGATTGCTGACATCCAGTGGCAACACCATGTCAGTAATGCAGAGGTTCGGCATCGTGTGTTCGGGCACAGAGACGATAATCCGATCGGTGTCAGCATCTTGAAACACCGACTTCGGTGGCTTGGACATGTTCTACGAATGTCGTCCCAGAGAATTCCACGTCGTGCATTATTTGCGGACGCTGGGACTGGTTGGAGAAAGCGGAGATGTGGTCAGTGTATGAGATGATGTCGTGGTTTGAAAGAAAGCTGCAAAGGGCTGGCTTGTGTTGGTCCTTCACGACTCCCTGGTGGGGGTCCGAGAAATGGTGCAACACAGTGGCTAGAGACGTTATCAGGTATGGCTGTAACCTTCTTTTACTTTCTTCGTAAAAAGTGGTTGTATCTTCTTTAACTGAAAGATTTCTTCTGATTGTACCTTTCCGTTCTCCCATTATTACTATTATTATTACAATACCCCACACCAATCTCTTCCTTATTGTTCTCTTTTTTTTACACTCCTTACCTTTTTTTCCTTCTCCTTAAATTCTCATTGTTTTGTGTGGCGCATATATATTTGGCGCTCTCTCGTACCAATATTTATGTGTCCAAATAAATAAGTAACTCATTGTTCAGTTGTTATACCATTACTTTTCATAATTCTATTCCATTTGGAGAAATATTTTAATAGATAGATACACAGATAGATATACAAACATATAACTCACTTGGAAACTCCTTATCTCTACATTTCTATTGATAAGATGCTTCTGACGTAACCCGTTTGTCTAGTATATATGTGCGTGTGTGTGTTCGTGTGTATCATATGTTTGAGCTTGTGTTAACAATAACAATGCTACATTTTTTTACAATAACCATTCTTTTGTGTTGTTGTCATTGTCATCATCATTTCGGATTATTTGTAGGGTTTATTATTACTCTATAAAAGAAATGATAGATCAATCATGTATGCGTTATCATATCTAGTTCTCAAAACATAAATATGAATGAATTTCTGTAAAGAGAGAACAAATTAATTAACTCCTTTGAATTTAGTTTTTATCTGATTTAACCAACACCTCAAGTCTTCTTTAAAACACTATCATTACTATTATTATTATCACTGAATTATACCATTAAATAGGACTATAGCTACACAATAGAAAATCTTGATAAAGTTAATGCGTTAAAAAAGTGTACCCTAAACAAAATGAGTGAGAACAATATCGTGGAGAAATTTTAAAAAAAAGCGAGAACATACAGTCAAATAAAATAAATCAAGTGTTCTAGTAGTTAGGCGGTTGTACGCGACGTCGAATGTCCTAGATTCAATCCTCTGCTTCGTAGTTGTAGACAAGCACTGCTGAGGAGCCCCACAGTTAGACAAAACAGTTTTTTAAAGCTTCCTCATTTACGGTGTTAGTCACATATTAATGTTCGGGGTTTGTGATGATTGTCGGATTTTATAGTTTACATCATAAACTGATCTTCGTTAAACAATAGCCGAAAAAAAAGAGGCACTTAACATCTATCCCATTCTAGGATGGAGGTTTGCATCTACGACCCTACTGCAGATTGTACCATTAACTTACAAGTCTAACCGCGAAAATCGCACCTTTGAATTATTGGGTCAGCATCCAGTTGTTTAAATTTTTTGCCTGTAATCTAATTGCAATATTATACGAACATTGGTATTTGCATACTATGTTATTACTAATAATTGTTTTTGCTAATTATAAAGATTAAACTCTCCTCCCTTACTGTATATTTATAAATAATAAATATACAATTCTGTTAGTAACAGTAATGAATCTATATCTATTCTGATAA